GCAGGCCCCGCCTCCTGGCCTTCCAGGCCTTCTGCTCGCCTGCCCCCAGCGCCCCCGACGGCTGCCCGCCAGACCAGGCTCCTAACTGCCTGCGCGCCTACGCGGGCCTCGTGGGTACGCACTGTCGGGATCCGGGCGCGGGCGGGGTTCTTCCGGGTTGGCCCCGCCTGGGTGGTCCGATTACTCCGTTCTTTGGGTCTCCGCAGGCACCGCGGTCACCCCCAACTACCTGAACAACGCGAGCGCGCGTGTGGCGCCCTGGTGCGACTGCGGCGTCAGCGGAAACCGGCAGGAGGAGTGCGAAGCTTTCCGGGGGCTCTTTACAAGGAACCGCTGTTTGGGTGAGGGGCTTGGGCCGGGCGGGGCAGGGCGGCACAGGAGTCCGGTCTGTAGTTACTGTCCCCTACCAAGTCGCCTGGACAGCGGGACCCCATTTTAGAGGTGAGGAAACGGACGCTTTTTGCGGCAGCCGGGTAGGCCTACTTCTCCCTCTGATGTCGTCCTGCTCCTCTAGGAACCTGCGCCCAGCTGTCTCCAGAGACCAGGTGACAGGGCCACAGTTGAATCCTAGGGGTGTCTAGGCTGGTGCCCCTGCCGGCGGGGATCCGGGGGGTCAGTTAAAACAAGTTTCCGAGGACCTGGAATGGAACTAGGCGAGGTGGCTGCTTCTGCCATTTCTGAGACGGTTCCATCCCGGAGGCACTGCCATCTCCCCCCATTGATGATCTTGCTTTGAGGTCTGAACAGCAAGGTGGTTCCCTGCCCAGTCTGGGAGTTAGGGGGCCTGGGTTTGAAGCCCGATTCTGCCACTTACTAGCTGAGAGTTGGTTAACTCCAAGCATTTTTGTGTCCATCTGTAAAAGAGTGATGATAATTCTCATCCTCCCCTGTGAGGATAAAAGACTCTAAGGTTCGCAAGGCACTCTTAGCACAGCTGCCCTTACTTTGTTATTCCTCACCCTGCGCCTTCCATTCCAGAAGCCAATCCTCGCAGACAGTCTATCTTCCCATCCCTGTGTGGACAGAGTCCACTCAGGATGCCAGGGGTTTCTCAATTTTCCCTGAGGAGCTGGCCCCTGTGCAAGGGTTTCCCAGACAAGCCCAACCTAGACCCCTCCCTCCGTAGATGGTGCCATACAGGCCTTCGGCAGTGGCTGGCCCCCAGTCCTGCAGGACCAGCTGGAGTCCCACCAGGACCTTGAGCACAGACTCCTGCAGGTAGGTGAGTAGGGGGTGGTGAGCGGACAGCCCCTGCACTACCTTCTTTCATCTTTCCATGCCGGGTGGGCCTACATAGACGTGAATGACCTCGGATGGGAGTGGAGGCGGCGAGCAGAGCCAGGCTTCTGCCTCAAGTCCGCACTCTGCCCCCATCTCCCAAGGTGTCCTCTGCAGACCGGCCCCTGGAGGGCTGCTCCACACCCTCCATGCTCCTCGCCCTGGCTCTTCAGCCCCTGCTCTGACTAGAACAGCAAACCTTGGACAACACAGCCGACTGTCCCACCCTGCTCGGGGTACACGGCCACTTCTGTGGCCTGCTACCCCACTGAAAGATTGGCTTCCCTCCCACGCTGGCCCCAGTGCTCTTGTCTGCTGCCCTCTGCTGCTCTGGACGCCCCGTGTGCCTGTCCCCTGGAGTGAGGCCTGTAGACTGGGGGCATGACTGCAAAGCCCTTGGTTTCCCTTTCAGGAGGTTTCTTGGTTATAGGTCTCTTTCTCCACAGACCTTGAAACAGCTGGGGTCGCCTATAGGGTAGGCATGGGAGGGAGTCACCTGTGTAACTGAGGCCTCAGTGGAGCCCCAGATCACCTAGAAAAGGTTAGAGACCATCCAAATTCCCAGAATTCTAGGAGATTTTTGTCAGCCTCCCAAGCATATCATGCCATAAGGAGTAGATCTTAATAGACTTGTAGGCAAAACCCCTTCTAACACTGCAGCCTTTCATGGCACCCTCCCATGATGATAGTCACCTGCACCCCATGACAAAAGTTGGCAGAGTGTTTCCCGTCCATGATATGTTGCTTGGTGGTCACCACCTGGAGTAAGTGAGAATCCGGTCCTCTGCATTGCACTGGCCATATGGCCATCTTCCCCATGGTTTAATCCAGCACTAGGAATGGCATCCACAGCTCAATAAAGCCATGTGCACTGAGACTGACCTTGCTGTCACTTGATCTGTGTCCTAGGAACCCATGGTTAATCAACAGTGTGTGCCTCTGCTGGCCTGTGTGACCACAAATGGCCTCAGAACCTCTTTGGGCTCTGTCTCCTCACCTACAGATGCTGAACTGAATCAACTCTCAGGTCCTAGTGGCAGGGACTTTGGTTGCTTTTGTCTATTCTTTCCTTCTCTGCTAGTACTCAGATAAAGAAAATATATTTCCCAGCCTCCCTTGCAGCTAGAGGGTGGTCATGTAACACAGTTTGGGCCAGTGAGTGGAATTCACAGGGGAGTCGTCCAGGAGAGCTCTTTAAATAAGAACAGACTGTCTGACTAGCCCCTTCAGCCGCTGGCCTCAACCTTCCTCTCTTCTTGCCCAGACTTGAGTGTGAATGCCTGGGGACATGGGCGCCATCTTGAAAATCGAGCCATGGCACCAGCCCCAGTCCACCCCCTCTGGACTCTTCATTATGTGAGAAAAATGTTACCTCTAATTTGTTAAAGGCAATTTCTCCTCAGGTGTCTTTTATTTGCAGCCAAACATAGGCCCTGATTGGTATACTTCCACCTTTGGGGTGCCTGGGAGCCCTGGGATCACCCAGTGTGCTCACTTAGGGGAACCCCACCTCAGTGCTCACAGAGCCCGGCCCTGACAGACACTTGAAAGAAGGAGCGATGGTGGCTGTTTTTCATTTCTGCATATTCCACCTGCTTCTGTCCACATGGAGAGTGAAATTCTTTCCTGGAGCCAAGAGAAACTTAATCATAAAGGTTTCTATGAACATTCCATGTGTGTGGCCAGTGTGGCCCCAACAAACGCCAAGGGCATTGTATTAAATTGCAGTTCTGTGAAGGAGTTTGGGAAGGAGAGGGCAGAGCACTGGGGCCCAGGTACTAAGCCTTCTGTCCACTTCCTTCTTTCTCAAAAGCTTGGAGATTCCTGATAAGTGAAGGGTTCCTGTGTCTCTAGACTGCTCCTTCTCAAACCTGGTTGAGGTTTGTTAGGGGCCATGAAACTGGTGGAGGTGGAGGCTGCTGGTGCCTTGCTCAGAGACCTCTCTGGGCCAGTGCAACCCATCCCCAAGCTGCTGAATATTGGCTGCGGACACAGCTCACAGCTGCCCCCTTCTCTAGAAGAAATGCCTGTAAGGTTACACTCTGTTTTCTAACATGGACTGCCGCCAGCGACTGATTGAGGCAGGGATACAGAGGCCTAGCCTGCTTGCTTCAGGGGGCACAATTCTGTGTGCCAGTCTTCCTCTGGAGCTCCACGCCTGGTCCCAGCCGAGACCGCAGCCTAGGTCAGCCCCTTCCCCTTCTCAGTCCTGCCGCCCTCAGTAGAGGTTCCCCTGAGGGTAGTTCCTCCAATAAATCATGGCCTAAGAATCCCTGTCTTGGGCTTGGCTTCTGGAGAACCTGACCTAAGACACAGGGGTTAGGTACAGACCATGCCAAACCCAGGCCTGGGGCTGTCTTGAGCCACCAGCTCTGAGACTGTACTTAGCAGCTCATACCAAACCCACAGACACTGTGTGTGGCAGCTGTCAACCAGCCTCCCAGCTTCAGGCAGCACTCTTCTGATTGGAACCAATCACAAATTAAACTGGCCTGCGCATGCGAACTGAGCAATTCAAGCTTCAGGCACAGCTGTCTCCAGGGGTTCAAATGATGTCGCCCCTGCTGGTCTGTGCACAGCTTCCCTCTGCGGCTAGGCAGGCTCTCACCACAGGACAGGTAAGAATGCCCCCAGCAGCCCTTGATGTGTGATCTCTCCTTCTAGCGTTCTTAGCAGAGAAAAGCACTTCTCTTTCCCAGCATTCATGGACTACTCTAGGCAGGACCCTCATGGGCCCAGCATGGGTTTTTTCATGTGGCCTGGGGAGTGACATCAACCCACCAAGATCACATGGAATGGGAAGGTAGTTTTCCAATGGAAAAAGGGAGGGGTGTTGGGCAGAGTGAAGCTCAGAGTCCAGCCTGTTCTCACTTCATGAAGAAGGAATGTTCTCAACCACCTACACCTGCATAGGAGGGGACACCTGTAAATGGACTGGGGAGAGATGGTGTGTGTGTTGGGGCGGGGGGCGGGGTTGGGGACAGAACGGGGAAGTGAAAGCATGGCCTTGCCCTGCTCACCATGATTGGCGCGGTGGGACCAAACAATTAAATATCTGCTAAATAATTTGCCTTAGTGAGAGTGTTTTAAACTCTTGTTGCTCCTTTTTTTTTTTTTTTTACTCAGGTAATGAGAGTAAAATATAGGCATATGCCTTTCAAAAGATAGGGCAGATAAAAGTGAGCAGAACCTAGTAGAAAATGGCACAGTTGTTCCGATGGCAACTGGCTGTCTTCCTTCAGTACTTCTTTCCAAGTAGGCAGACTCAGGAGTTTAACCCAATGCGACCCATTTAACATTAGACGGTGTGCAATAGAAAAGAGGCTTCCTTCGTGCAGGGGAAAAATGAAAGTCACAGGGTCTCCGTTGCCTGGCTCTCTGTTTCTCCCCAGAGTGAACATTTCATGTGGGAGGCCTCAGGCCACACAGGGCACAGACTCAGCTAGCTCTGCAGAGAGAAGCCAGGAGGAGGGACAAGGCACCGAGGCCTGCAGAGGCCACCGTCTTGCCACTCCTGGGCCAGTCGACTTTCGGAGGGTTTTGTTGCTGTAGTGGGCTCAGTGGTGGCCTCAAAAGATATGTCCACATCATAAGCTGTGAAGGTTACCTTGTATGTAGGCAAGAGTGAATATTACCTTATATAGCAAAATACCGGGGTGCCAAAAAATGTATACAAGTGGACACTTTGGTCAACATTGCTCAAACAGTAGTTCACCGTCGTCAGAAGTGCCTGGACGCTGATAGTCATCACTTTGAGCACTTCTTGTGATTGTGGAAGTCAAATGTGACTTGTAGTCATCTTTTTATTATCAATATATATTGACTATTACAATTTCTAATAGTTTTTTTCCTTTCTTAAAATGCGTATACATTTTTTTTGGGCACCCTTTGCATGTAATTAAGGAGCTTGACAAGAGGCACTTATTCTGGATTATCCCAGTGCGCCCTAAATGCAGTCACGTGCATCCTTGTATGTATATGAGAGGCGAAGGGAGATGAGACCCAGGGAGAGATGGGTGTACTGTGATGCAGCCACAATCCAAGGAATGCCGGCAGCCACCAGAAGCTATTGGGTTGTCGGAAAAGTCATGACGTATTTTTTCTGTTTTTCGTTGCAAAAATGTGTCATGACTTTTCCGACAACCCAATAGAAGAGGTCGGGAGTGGACTCTCCCCCAGAACCACTGGAGGGAGTGCAGCCCTGCAACACCATGATTCTGGACTTCTGGCCTCCGGAACTGTGAGAATAAATTTCCATTCTTTATAGCCACCAAGGGTGGGCAATTTGTTACAGCAGCCCCAGGAAACTAATGGATTTGTCTAAGCTTGTCAGAGTTTGGTTTCTTTCACTTCTACTTAAAAAGGTCCTGTCCTGGCTCCTACATGGTGTTAAGTCCGGCCCAACACCACAAGGCTGAGCCCAGTTGTGGCCCCCACAATCAGGAAGGGGTGCTGCCTTGCTCGTCCACGCCTGAGTGTCGGCCTCCATGTACTGCCAGGTAGCCTGCTTGCTGTCACTCTCTCACGTGCACTCTGGGAGACTGTGGTCCTGGCCCTGACCTCATCCCTGAGACTGGATCTCTGTTAGCTGTTGACAACAGTGAGCTTCTAGCTGGCAGGTGGCTGGGGGTGGGGGTTAAGTCAGAAAGGCAGGTGTTGGAAGCATCTGTAGATTTATGGGTGGAAACTTCACGGCTCGTGATGCCCACTCTAGCTTGAAGCCTGCTGTCTAGGGAACAAGATTGATGTGGAAATGGCTCACTGCCCACCGTCCTCCCCTCCCCATCCCCAACTGAGTCAGGCGCGGCCAAACTCACTGAATTGGCTCATTTTTACAGGAAGTGTGGGCATTGGTGGTGAAATTCCCAGAGAAGCAGGAGGACGGGGGCTATGTAGGGCTTCAGGAGACATCCTCCAGCTGGACAACAGCTTGCCAGTGAGTCTGGCAAGCATGTGACAGGAGGCAGAGACCGGCCCCGCCTCACTGGGCTGCAGGACTGGGAAGGCCTGGGTTGAAGGATGTATCAGGAAGCTGCACCCCACACCCAAAGGCGCCTCCCGCCCAAGGCAGGAGAGGCAGAGAGGAAAATTAAGGTGAGCACACACGCAGAACAAAGTAAACAACCTCACAAACCGCCTTCAAGGGACCGGGACTGAGCAAATAAGGGGGAAAGGTCTACACGTGTGTGAATGGGCCTGGTCGCCAGGTCCAATCCCCAGCTCCCTGTGCAGCACTCTTCATACAATCAACGGGATCATCTGGCCTAGTCCCTTGAGTTGGGGACA